CCCAAAGGGCTACCCGCCGCAACCTCTTACCACTCCCGCTAACCCACAATTACCTCAACCGCGACGATACCAATTGCCATTAACGGTGAGCCATACATCCCATTATTAACTAGGCAGATGTGATGTTTTCTCAAACGTAATCTGAACGTGGCTCCGAGGAAGGTGTGACAGCCAAGGTGAGAGAGGGCTCCCAAGGTCCATGATCTCGACTGGTCACCGTGGGACCATGACCTCAAGAGGACCATGCCCGCGATGCCCCCATTACGTTCCAACTCGAGGTCCTTTTTTCCTTCTCTAGACCTTTCCTCAAGACTTTTGTCGAGGTACCCGATACAGGAAATCCACATAATTTCGATCCTTCAGCCACCAATCTACATGTCTCATCATNGGGTTCCAACTTGGGGTCCTTTTTTCTTTCTCTAGACCCTTCCTCAAGACTTTTGTCGAGGTACCCGATAGAGGAAACCCACATAATTTCGATCCTTCAGCCACCAATCTACATGTCTCATCATCCCATATGCTGATCTGGACCAATAACCCCATTTACCTTAGGAGTCTCTCTGGATTCCAGTCAAGCACAACCCAACAGACAATGAGCCATACACTGGAAGGCCTGCTTGAGCAAATTAAACCTTTGAGACCCTACCCCAGGTCGAGGTTGACAATCATACCCGTCCACCCCCATTGTTCAGTTCTCCCTTGAGGAGGGCCATACTTCCGTGTCCTTAGGTGGGGACATCTCCTCTAGTCCAATGGGCAAGTCGTGCAACGACATTCAATAGGTTAAGGATACCATTTCCGCAGCAGGGGAGACGAGTCTTGTTGAAGTTTTCCCTACACTTCTGCGATATCATTCCTGCAAAGGGACGTCGCACCCAGGTTGGCCCATAATTATGTGATTCACCGTCTGTTCACCCTTGGTGAAGGGTCCACTTTTTCACTTCCAATGCTATGGAGATGTATGTCGCCCTGTTGCGATGTTGTGCCTCAGAGCGCGCCCAGGAAGCGTCGAATCCAGGGGCGTCACGCTAAGGGCGGCGTCGCACCAATGGGGTGTTGCGCCCAAGAATGCTACACTTATCATTGTTATCTATGCCAGTCCAGCTAAACTCTGTCGGGCCCCATTTTCATGTCAACTGATAATCGTTGCCACTTGTCCTGTAATAGCGGAGATACGTGCTTTGCAGTTTTTCGAGTACTACACTCATTTAACCGAAACCTACCCATCCATCTTCATTGGGTTAGATATCTAATTATGCAGGGTAGACTTCAGTAAGTTTATCCTGACGGTCTCAAATAAACTCATCAAACGGTCACTAATATCCCTCTAAAAATTATTCACGTTACACCGTACCTACGGACACACGTTACTCATAGTATTTGAATATCCTATCCTACCTTATCTTTGATAAGAAATTTTTTACTCACGTGGGCCTCATTTCTAATCCAACCTCATGTTTAGATCACAAATTTAACCAAAATCCATCTTCATAGAAAAAACCAACGTTCACATATAAAATACATACAAAAACATTTCATCACCGTTGGAAGCAATTCGTGCATATTTAACTAGACAAAACATGGGTGTTTAGATGTTACAATCACAAAATTAAACACTTCACCACATCAATCCACACCCCTGATCAATCCACCATTGATCCTCTTCCACGTAGGAACCCAGCTTTTCAATCCAAGAACAACCATAATTTTCGGCTTCTAATTCTGTTTTGTCTACTTTGTCTACCCCATCGAGTCCAATACCATTGAATTCGAACACAAATTATGTCAACAGTTGCAACAATGAAGATGAGAGAGAAGGCTATTGCAGCAACATGATGCAAGTTAATGAATTCTTGGCAAATTAACAAAACCCAACCGATCAGAGAGACAATAAGGGCATGCTTGTTTCGGAGAGACAAAACAAACGCGGTATAAGATGATATTCGGATTATTTTTTTTATATCGTACCTCTAGTACCACTTTATAACCTAAAATGCCACAATGAGCGTCAAATTACCGATAATGAAGAAACAAATCTAATATATAATCTTTTATTTGAATTATTTTTAGTTATTAATCATGTAAAAAATAAAATAAAGTAAAATAAAAAATAATAAACTTTTTTATATCTCACATTATAATAATGAAAAAAAAAGATATAGTATCAAAAAATAATTTTTTTGGTGCCACAACACTAAACATCTGCGTCAGTAAACCACTAATCAATACTATTTTTGCTTGTAAATTAAAGATATCCGAATTGAAATTTACAAGAAAAAAAATAAAAAAATTGTTAAACCAGAATGATCTGAATATATGATGAGAGTGGCTAATGAGGTGTTAGAGTTATGCAACACCAAGAAATTATAAAAATTCAGCTAAACAAAAAAATAATAAAAAGTCAGAAAAGTGGAGTGTCTAAATTAGATAAAATTCCAAAAGTATATCGGCACATGGATACTATTCCCCACCTTCTGCGGTGGGAATGAGAATGTTCACATTTTGTCGGCAGATTTAAAGATTCGACCCCATCCCCATCCTCAGCATAAAATTATTCCCATTTGATCTTAGGGTGGGATATGATAGAAGTTTTTAAATAACTTTCTTCATTGAGAGTTTTTTTGTGAAATGCGAATTTTATTTCATATTAAAAGTGTTTAAGGTAGACCTCTCGTCTTAAAAGTATATGACTTTGTACCTGTCGCCCAAGTTCCCTAAAAAAAAATACTATAATTTTTAGAAACCGCAAAAACAAAAAAAATGTAGACACGGAGTAATGCAGTACACAAGATTTCTATCACTAAAGATAAATCAATCAATAGATGGAATCTATTATAGATTACTATTGATCTAAATTTAAATGTGCCATATAAACACTAGTTCGAATCCTCTTCAATTAACCGACTGATTTTAGTTCGATTAGATCCAAATAATTAGTTTAAAACTAAATTTAATATATAACATCTTTATTTTAATTTAATTTTAATAATGAACAAATTAAGTTATGCATAATCAAATAAGTTGAGCGTATGATACAAAATAATTAATAATAAAAATAATTAATAATAAAAGACAAAGATTGAGTAGTTGGGTCTGGTTGACCTAACCACAAAAGGCGACAATGATGAGCGAAAAACTCTATTAATCAGAGAGTACAAGGTAGTAGGAGAGAGAACAAGAGTTTACTCAAGATAAGGTGTGTGGGATTTACTTCCATGTATAGAAAGTTTATAATTTATAGGCAAAAAGCCCTTGCTATGGTCGCGACGTGAAGGTCAAACTATTAATTTATCGGAAAGATAGTTACAATTGACGATAGATACTATCTTGGAGTAATGATTATCATGATAATTGTTCTTTCATGTAGTTGACTCTTCTTGAACTCTTAAATTTTGGATTGGACTGCGGTCATGAGTTAAGTCTAATATGTCTTTTGATGATTTGAGCTCAACCTATGATTTGAGCCCAAGTCTGATCTAAATCAATCAATACAATGTCTTTTTATGTATATGATTAATGTCTGATTATGAGCAAAACGAACCTTATTTTAGCAAAATTTGGTATATGCATAATTTTTTTTTGACCGGAGTATACGCATAATTTAAAAAAGATAAAATGTATATAAAATTAATCCCATACATCCACGGGTAAACTCTCTTTGACCCACTCAAATTAATGATGCCTAAATAATAAAGAAAGAAGCTTAGAGGTTGCGTCTAGGTTACCTAGTTGTACCAACGATTCGACAATGACTTGTGAGGAATTAATTCCTTAGCAATGTTATTCGGACTAAAAGGTAATTTGATAAAAAGGGTGAATGATATTTTGTGCTCAAAATTATTTTTAAAATTTTAGATTATATATTTGGTCACATTATATTTTTAATTAGATAAAAGGATAACAATATATTTCAAAAGTAAATGTTTAACGATTTTTTAAACAAATTTTTTATTATATTATCTTATATTTATATTATATACTAAATGTGAATACCTGTGAAAAAAATTTTATTTTTTATTTTATTCATAATCATTATAACTAAGACAATTTTATCCACCTATATATTTGCATCTAATTTTTATTTTACATATATTTGACTTTCAACTTATTTTAAACTTTTTTATATTAACTTTTAAATTATTTTGAATTCATTTATTAGTAATACAATTACAAAAAATTATCTATATCTATATGACGAAATAAAGTTTTATATATATTAAAATTTTATACACATGTACTGTAGTTACCAAGTTGAATTCTACATTCAAATATATGTTATTTTTTATTTTGTGATATGCAATAAAATAATAATATTATAAACGATCTAATCAATCTATTTAATAAAAATAAAAATTAATAATTCTATAATAAAATTAAATATTCAAACTTTTAAATAGGTTAAAAAAATATTTAAATAAATGACAGATTAGTTACTTAAAAATTTATAGAATAAATTAATAATTAAATTTAATTAACTAAAATATGAATTAATTATTTGACACCTAATTTATTATTTAATTTAATTACACAAAAAATTCACAATTTTTATAAAAATAATATTATTTAAATTTATTTATGAATGGTGCCTTGCTAGTTTTTATAAATAATTATTTTCACAATACTCAATTTTAAATATTTTTGACAGAAATTTAGTACTCAAATTTCTTAAAATGAAGTACGATATTAAAAAAAAACACATTATTACTTTTTATCTTGTGTAATATAAAAAAATTCAAGCAATTTGATTCACGGAAATAATATAATTTATTACTGAACTTCAGTAGTTCTGTCGCGAATTACTCGTCGATGCTCCCTTTTATATTGTTTAAAAAAGAAAAAAAAATTCATTTCCCATAAAAATATCGACTAACATAAATATTCCACTTCATGTATGTTTTCTTGAATGTTCAACTAAATAAAAATCAATACAGACTCTCGAAACTCCAAACGATCGAATTAGCGAAGCTCGCTTTTTTTGGCTCTGCAGAGTTGAGAGAGAGAGAGAGAGAGAGAGAGAGAGAGGATGAAGATCACGTCGTTGATGGTGCTGAAATGCCCGCCGGACGGTTCCGATCCGGTGATCTTGGCCAACGCGACGGACGTAAGCCATTTTGGATACTTTCAGAGATCCAGCGTGAAGGAATTCATCGTCTTCGTTGGTCGGACCGTCGCCAAACGTACCCCACCCGGACAACGCCAATCGGTTCAACACGAAGGTCCGATTTATTCTCTTCTTATCTGAACTAGGGCTTCGCATTTCTTGCTTTCAACCTGAATTGTTGTGTTTGTTGATTGTAATATTAAGTATTGGAGAAATTATCAGGAAAATAAAGAAAGATAAGCAAATTGTGTTCGATTGTCATATTTATTGTTAATTTTTTGTAGTTGAATTGCTGATTTTTATTTTATTTTTTCTGTTAATGAAACTGAAGAAGTTGCGTAATTTAGTCCTAACGTCAAGCCTAAATAGAATTTGAGTTGCGCTTTGTTGTGGCATAAGTGCGACTATTTTTCCTGGCTCTTTTTTTATGTTCTTTTCTTGGTTTTATCGAGATAAAATCTATATATAGAATTTTTAATCTCAGAAGCATGAAGATATGTGCCTGATTTGCAGTATTTGGTTTGCTTTGTGGTATTATTCTATGAGATGATGTTTTACATAAATTTGAAGTTCATCTTTCTTTTTTTATTTTTTAATTATTTTTTGTAATAGAGTACAAAGTTCATTCCTATAATAGAAATGGTGTCTGTGCCTTGGGCTTTATGGATGATCACTATCCAGTTCGAAGTGCATTCTCTCTGCTCAACCAGGTACTGCCGCATTTCTTCTCTACGCTTCAGTGCTATTCTTACTGATGAATGTACTTTCTTAGTGAGCTATACCTTTGAAATATGGTTCTTTCACACTTTGGAGTTCCATTGCTTATCTTCTGTTCCAAATCTGGAGGAATTTATCTAGTTTGATAGTTTTGTGTTATTGATACTTCACACTGTTATCTCGTTTTGTTACGTGTTGACGGGTTTATGATCTTGGGAAAGTTTAATTTCATCTACTGGTCAGTGTATATGACTAATGAATATATCACTTTTCAGCAATAGGTTAAATACATGCTGACATTCCATGGTGCAGTTCCTCTCTCCTCTTTGATTGTTTATGTGATGCCTCTATATTCTGCATTAGTGAATGGGAACATGAGATATGCAAACATACTGTGTTTTATTTTTCTATTTCCTTTGAGATTGTCTTCCTTTTCGCTGGTTCCTGAAAGCTGCAATCACTCCTCCCTGCTTGCTCCCTGGGGGAGGGAGTGTAGCTTCTGCATGTCAGTGCTTTCCAGATTGTTACTCTGTCTTTGATATTTAATTGTTTTGATTGTGAATATTTTATCGTCGCCACACTTAGAGATTACTTGATATCTAGACATTCAAGTGCAGATTGCTACAAGAAGCTCAAAGAAAAGCCAGGAACTGAAATTAACCTGAATTTTATTGAATTTATCTCGAATATTTTGGAGTTTCTATTAGTGCAACCAACCCAGATAATTGCCATGATGGCATCATGCCTCAGAGGTTTAACTTGCTTCCTCTTTCCAAAGCTTTCAAAAGGGATCTCTAACATTGAGTTGGAGGCACCTTATTGATCCCTGATAGAGCCAAAATCTTGTGGGAGCTTCCCTTTTTCTATTTCTCCTCCAATTGTCTTTTTCTTAAAAAGGAAAATATTTGTTTTGGATTCAATTGTTGGTTATGTGGTTATAGGTTAATGGCTTATTCTAGAAGAGTTGGGGCATATGCTTCTTTAGTTTGCACTGTTGAATATTTCAATTTGTTTGTTTTTGTTCTTTTACAATGATTTGCTATTGTATTTGAATGACCATTCCACTCTTAGTAACCTGTAGCTTCACATGCTGACTTTAACCATTGTAATATAGTAAGCTCCATTGTGCTTGCAATCAGTGTCATAAAATATGTTTTTGATAGAAAGCAAGAAATTTATCATTATTAAGAGGAATGAAACAAGGGAAGGATGAGATACCCTTTTAAGATGATGATACAATCAGTACAAAGGTTACAATGTGGTGTAGTGGTTTTCTCTAGAAAACGCTCCCCAAAACCACTTCATGGGTTAGTTGTACTAGTGACCTCCAGAATTAATGTTTCGAAATTAGCAATATACAGATTATTGAGAAAGTTGATATTTTGCACTGATCAGAAATTAAGTGTTTTTCAGGTGCTAGATGAGTACCAAAAGAATTTTGGTGATTCATGGAGAAACGTGCAAACAGATAGCACACAACCATGGCCATATCTGAATGAATCTCTATCAAAATTTCAGGTTCTAATTAATTCTTTACCCTCAATGTTTAGCTGGAAAAGAATATGAATATTGTTGTTTTATACTTTTTGCCCCTTGAGTTAAATTCTTTAAAAAAAATTAGATCTGATGCTGAATATAAACTGAAGCACTTCTTATTCTTCTGCTTTCTTTTTTAATTCTTCAGGACCCTGCTGAAGCTGATAAGCTATTGAAAATTCAGAGGGAATTGGATGAAACTAAAATTATCCTGGTGAGTGTTGAGATCCATGCATATATTTACATCATCTTGCTATTTTCCTTTCTGCTCTTTGTTTTTATTATTTTATTACCAGACATATGTAGCAATTGGAATATTAAATTTTCAGGCCATAGATTGTCTCCTTTCTAGTGCAAAGCACTTTTTAGATCAAGCATGCATGTTTAAGTTAATAGCGTCGATCCACAATTGATAAGCCAGAAAGATGTGACTTATCAACTACCAAGCAAAAGTATTTGTAAGTTAGTTGTAGCAAATTCGGCAAGTTGGCTTATAGTTATGCACAATGTTGATGGAGATGTTATAATATGAAAAGCTCTTATTGTCATACACATTATCATATAATATGTCCATGGGTACTTAGCATTCTCATATATTAGCCAATGCACGTGTGTTTTATCCTTCTACTTTTCTATTTTTTCTCCATTTGTCCTTTATATTAATGCGTGTTTTTTTTAATACAGCATAAGACTATTGATAGTGTCCTTGCACGGGGTGAGAAGCTGGACAGTTTAGTTGAGAAGAGTTCAGACCTCAGCTCAGCTTCACAGGTACATGCATGTGGTTTTGTCTCTCCATAGAAATCACCAAAATGCTTATATAGTTGCAGCATAGGATTGGTGTGTTTGTACACTTGTTCATTTTCTAGCATTTTTGGAGAATAGATTTTTTCGATTTGGTTAACAGACACCACTTTATGCCGAAGCCATCAGGTGGGTGCGATAAACTGGAAAGGGATTCACAGAATATTGCATCCATTTCAGCTGTTGGGAATAGATTATCCACATATTGATCAATGCCTGTGTATGGTGTTGTTAATTGGTAGCTCTTGGCTTGTTTTGTTCTGCTGATAGAGCTACAATTTGGGATGTGGGATTGTATCCAATTGGATAGTTGATATTTCTTGCTAGAGGATCCCTAGGTTATTGATATCTTTTCATATATAAGAGCACAGAAACATCACTGATTTTTTTACAGCCTCACTTGATACTGGCAAAAAACTGGATGCTGAGCATTTAAGTTTAAATTATGATGCACAACAGGTGGCCTCAAGAAGGAACGGCTCTGTCAAATTAATGGGAGTTTTGCTTAGAAAGAGAAAAAAGAAAAAGTTTTCAAATTATTGGGTTGAAGATTTTTTTGTTCCCTTTGGGTTTTATAAAATTAGAAATTTTTGTCCTTGGTTTTTGGAGTTGTCTTGATATTTGACTTTAATTTTAGTTACAGCCTATGCTTTTGCTGTATCGAGTTGGTTGTATTTTGGGAAGATAGAAAAATATAGTGTTTGACAGGTTCATTTCATGTTTCATTTATTTTTTATTATGTTTATATTAAGGAGGTCAACCTGGGTTTAAGTAGTGTTGTACAAGGACACAATTGCAGTTCCCTGGTAAATCTAATTTTGTAAGGAGCGGAACCTGGACCCATTGGCATAGACATCTATTCCTTTATTAGGTTCTTAGCTTTCACCAAAAAACTGTCCAGAGACTGTTAGTGATATCATCGTCAAGATATAGGGACAGTGGATATACATAGCACGTCCAGCATGCTGGGTCTTGATGGGATTTAATATCTGCTGGCTTTTGTTTGCTCACTCAGATTCTACCCGACTATCAATTTTCTGGGTTTTGCCAGACCATATCACTACTGGATATTTAGTTACCTTTTTTCAGCCCCTAGTATAAGCATTTACATTGTATTGCAAAATAAAATTTCAGGAAAAACCCGAAATTTTGGCTTGGACAATTTCTTCTGCAGTAAGGACCTTTATTATTCAAGTGTCTTGGTGGTTTGATCTCTTATTATTCATAATTTGTCAAGATTTGAGTTTACTAATTGATGCAAGGTAGAATTAGGGGGTTATTGCCATGTTTTAAGTTTATTAGCTTGGATATGTGACAGTAATGGTAGACAATTCTTGAAGAACAGTATCCATGTAGTACCTCAATTTCAACTGGAAGTAATGCCATAATTGGCAGGTAATATGGGAGATAGTTATCTGATACATATGCCTCTTGGAATTGTACCCATATCTGATATTTCTAGTAATTGTCTTAAATTGCCCTAGTTTAGATGGACGAGGACAATGGCCCACAAAATATTATCTGGAGTTGAAATTTCTGGGATATTGATATGATAATATGATGCAACTTTTGGTACCTTTTTTTCAGAAGGAACTTCTCATACCTTTGCTAACATAGGTCTCGATTTTTTTTTTTTTTAATATTTTGTTTCTTTCCTTTTTTTTTTTTTGAACTTTTTTACTTTAGGTTGGACTGCTTGTCCACCCTACACTTCTGATGTAATGCTGTGAAATCAATAAATGGTTTTGTTTTTTATTAAAAAAGAAAAGAAAAGAAAATCTGGAATGAATTTGGTTGGCCATACCATCATGTAGTGCATCAAGGCATGCAAGGTTTGCTTAGGTGATCATAGTTATTTTCAGAGTTGTCATCACCATTTTGAGGGAGATTTTATCCAGTTTAAAAATGTAGTTCAATGCATGGGGCTCTCGGCACTGTGGGCCATGTGAAGGGTTAGATGTATACAACTTTTTACCCCATGTTCGGAGAGGCTGTTTTAGTGACTCAATCTCATGGCACTCAAGTCAGAATAGAGTAACCGAACCACTGCTAAAAAAACTTGAATTGTATTGTACAATTTGTTGCAAGTTACAACCAGTTATCTTTGTTTTGAAGATATGTTTACAAGGATTTGAAGCTAGACTTGTACATTGCTGATGTTTTAACCTTTGGTGGTGGATGAAACAGATGTTTTACAAGCAGGCGAAAAAGACCAATCAATGCTGTACAATATTGTAGATTCTGAATCAAGGGGGCAGTTCAACCGTGGTTTACTTGTTCTTCCATTAAATATGTTGCATCACGAATTCTTCTTGTGTCAGTTATTAATCATTGCAATTCCGAATTCTATTAATTGTTCCCTCTTGTATCTTGCCTTCGCAGAATGAAGTGGGGAAACCTGACACATGTTGGCTTTGCCTTGTTATTGCTATATGATATATAAGTATGCTTGGTGTTGGTGTTTACAATAGCTCAGATCACTCGTTGTTATCGTGGTTCTTTCTATTTTCTTGGTCAGAAAATAGAAAGAACCACGATATTCAGTCTCCATTTATATTTATATATAGGTAAGCTGAATACCAATTTTTTTTTTTTAAGTAGACTGAACAGAGTACGATCTTGCAAGGTTTTGAATTTACTTATCTTGCTTTGGGCATTATATTGCCCCCGGCCCGGGCAATAGAATGGGTTTTGCTATTGGGGTTCAGGTTTATGTTAACTATTTCTTCCAGTTCTGAGATTGATCACAGTAATTCGAGTTTGTTTAAGGACATGTCCTTTGAAGAATAAGAGTGGTTGATCCTTAAAAAGTGTGAGAAGTATCGAATTTGAGAATTTTTGTTTGAAAGAGGGTGAGCTTGACCATTGGGCATTCTATTGCGGGTTTTTTTTTACTACAAGGTGTCTTAAGCTTGTGTAGACTATTCACTTGAGTTTTGAAACCAGCGATCGTAGCTTAAGACAGTTTAAGTTCATATTTTGTGAGGAACAAGGATAGTTGATTCTTAAGGGGTATGAGGAGTATTGAAATTAAGATCTCTTACTTGAAAAAAAATAAGCCTGATCATTGAGTCACCCTTAAAAATATTTATTACAGTGTTAAACATGTGCATATGATGATCCAAATCTGTCCCATAAATGCGTCGATAGTGGCTCATCATCATACACGACTGAAGCCATATACATTAAAGTAAAAACGGCGTTCGAGTAGTATCTACCGTGTTTGTTTTAAAGCAGAAGGGTCCGGTGTTGTGCTGAAAGTGAATATGAAATTTTGAATCATTGATTTTAATTAGGATAATTTATAATTTCTGATCGAAGAAATTATAAAGTAACAAAAATAATAAAATAAAAACTATTATGCGTGTTGCATTTCTATTGGGTGAAAGGTGACTTTTTGGCACGACTGGAAAAGGAGATTGGGGTCTGTTTGTCGCGTGTTAAGGAAAAAAATTGGATAAATTTCATCCACAACTCCTATGGTTATCCATATATTCAATGATACCCTTTGCATCTTCTGAAATTTCATTGCATCCCTTCTAAATTATAATGTTGAATCACTTATACCCTCTTTTGTTAACAGTCGTATCTGAAAAGTAAAAATTTTGACTTAATATTCTTTCAAAATATCAAAGATACCCTCTTTTTTTTTTTTTCTCACAAAGCTTTTAACTACTCCACCATGTGGAGGAAAGAAAAAAGCCCTTTTATCTCTCGAAGATGTAACGAAGGTCTCCAACAACTTGAAGAAACGAAGGCCTCTGCTCAGGGGCGGAGCCACATGGGAACCAGAGTGGGCACTT